CGCTCAGCCGGGCGCGCAGCGCTGGGGCCCGCTATCCCGCGGGCCGGCCCGGCCGCAGGGCGCGCTCGCCCCTCCAGCCTCCTCTCGCCGAGGCTGAGCCGTCCACTCACCCCCGAGAAGCAGCAGCACGCAGAGGTCGCGGAGCCGCAGCAGCGGACCCCGCCTCAGCGCCATGTCGAGCGGACCTGCGGGGCCGCCGGCGCGCGGCAGCAGCCCCGGCCCCGCGCATGCGCCCAGCCGCGACCCGCCTCTGGTTACCATAGCGACCGCAGGCCGGCCGAGCCGGCGCCGGGGTGACGGGAAACCGGCGTCTAGTCTGGTTGCCATGGAGGCAGCGATGCTCTAGACCTGGCCATGGGAATCCCTTTCAGTGAACTTGGTGCGAGGAGGGTCATAGTGCTCAGGAGTGCGGCGAGGGGTCATTCTGTAGCTGCTGAGGTTTGAGAAGGTACGCCACGAAAATTTGGGAAATGAACGCCTCTCATTTTACAAATATGTGCGTAGCCCATTTCACTCTTGCTAGCATCTTGCTTTCCGTCTTTAGAGCCTCTAATTCCAAATGTGATGAAAGGGAAAAGCGATTAAAATTTGCTTAAAATGTTGGCAAGCCAAAAACTGCATACACCATACTGTACATAAAATGAATATATTGCAAAATAAACATAATTCACTTCTGTAGTAGACCAAATCATAATGGTATATATACTTAACATAGCAGCAGGCTAATTCTTTGTTCTAAATTCTGAACATTGAGAGATTTTGATAAGACTAGAAATAAAAATAGAAGCCAAGCAGAGGAACAGAAGGCTGAAATGAACCGGAAATTGGACCTGCAGAGGCAGGAGGATTTAGAGTGTCACTTAATACTGAGGGAAATCCTTTAAAAAGCTTGTATTGTATCTAAGATAGAAAAGAACCCAACAACATAATGACAACAGAATTCTAAGGGTAGAAAGCGTGCCAGAGTTCACAACAACCAAGGTTTTTCAATATTTAACATAAGGAGGACTTCACTTTTGGAGCTTTCCTACATTTTCTTAATGTTTTTAGTTTTCTGAGAAACAGAAAAATGTATGTATGTATATCAACTTTATATAGAAATGCCTAGAAATGAAATAGATTGTTGCCAAGGACGTGCTCCCCTTGCACTGCTGTAAAGCTTCTTTCTATATAACTGTTCAAACCTTTGCGAGTGTGAGTTAATTACTTTCCTCCAAAATCTTATAAAGGCAGAATGAAAATTTTTAAATAACTCCATAACCTGTTATGCTCCTAATTATCTTTTATTTCCTAAACATTCTTTCCATTTCTGATCACACATGCCAAAGTCATAATTAAACATTGCCTCTCTCCCTTTATAAAACACAAAATAGAGAAATTAAAAAGAAAAGCGTTCTGTTTAGACCCACTGCCTGTTTTCCACGTTCTCTCTCTTCTCTGTTATTCATTGGATCTGCTGATCACATAGCCGAGAATATGCGCCTAACTGAAAAACCCATTTGTTTGCACAGAAAACGTGAGATGATATGTGTTGAACAGAAACACTTTCTTCTGCTGAATTTTTCTGTGTTTGCTCTATGAAATGGTTCTTTCTGTTCAATGATCTGTTTCAGGGAATCGTTTAGAACTCAGTGAAATTACAAAGACAGACTCAATGAATATTCTCTGCGGGGCAGAAGTTTCTGGAAGAGTGAGAGGTGCTTCCCTGCAAAGCGCCGCTGCCCCTCCACAGATGGAGTCCGTGCGTCCGTGCCCATGGCTGACCCTGTTCTTGGAATGCCAGCGTAACCAGGCATGCAGCAGGGTGGGGCACACATGGGCTTGCAGAATGGCCCGCCGCCCCTGGGATTTCACTGTTCCCTGGAAGCTTCTGACCCTGATTAGAAGGGCACCCACAAGCCATGCGGCCAGAAGCAAAGCTCTAGAAGCACGCACTGAGCAGAACTGTGAAGTCTGTGGCTCTCCCAAAGCCTCATCCATCTGAGCCTGTGTGCTTGGGAGGGAAAGATATATTTACAAAACAGTTCAGGAAACTAAATCTGCTTATGCTGAACTTAAGCAGAAGCATTTGCAATGCCATTCGATTGATTCAAGCACAATGTGCGAATCAAGAGGCAGGCGTGGGTTTCCCGGGAGACTTGCCCCTGAGCAGACTACACAAGTCTGCCCTTTAGACCTGGAAAAGTTGCTTAACTCTCCCAAGACTTAGACTTCTTGTCTGTGAAATAGGAATACTATTACTCACAGTAGTGGAAGGATTGTGTGAGCTTACTGACTGAAGTGCCCAAGGAGCTCAGTAAAGGTCTGTTGCCTGTGTCCCTTCCCTTCCACGCTATTTTGGTTCAGATCAGGCAAAATGGTTACAATATGCCTGGAAAGATTTAATGAAGGAGAAGAGCTACAGTCAGAAATGGGGGCTTGTGGGGAATGGAGGAGGGGAACCTGAGGAGCAATAGAGTTTTATAGCTCTGAGTATTTATTCTCCTGTGTAACTTTATTCTATAAAAATCAAGACAACCTAGAAAGGACTAATATTTAAAATACATAAAGTACTCAAAAAATTAGATGCTCCCAAATTTACAGACCCAATAAAAAATGAGCATTTGAAATGAATAAGCACTTCTCAGATGAAGAATACAAATAACCAATAAATACATGATAAATGTTCAATGCCACTGGCCATTTGAGAGATGCAAATTAAAACAGCACTGAGATTCCATTTCACTCTAGAAAGAATGGCTATCTGGGGCTAGGGAGATTGCACAGTAGAATAAGCACTTCCCTGTCAAGTGCAAGGGTCTGAGTTCAATCCCTGGTTCCGCAAAAAAAAAAAAAAAAGCAGTCTACATGTCCCATCAACAGTTGAATGTACAAAGGAAATGTGATATTTACACTTCTATAAAGAAGAAACTTGAATCATTTGTAGGAAAATGGATGTATCTTGAGACTTTAATGTTGAAGTAATAAAAATTTTTAAATTTTTAAATAATGAAAATTAAATATCACACGGTTTCTTTGTTTCACGTGTTTTATTGTAGAAACCCAATGTGTAAAGTGCAAAATAAAATACAGACAATAAGCAAAAAAGTGAGAAAAAAAGTAATTGTAGTACAGCATGACTAATGCATCTAAAAGTGTACCTTGATTCAGTATAATTGTCTTACATAATTTCTATGCATTTTGCCCTGTTAATCTAGCTATTCATATGTGTTTATGATAACTAATTTGATAAAGACTTATAAAATGAATAAATAAACCTGATGCTTACAAAAAAAGAAAGTAAAACTAGAGGTAGGGGGAACAGGAAAAAAGAAGTGACAATGAGGTATTGCGTGAATGTACCAATTCTCCAAAATCAATGGAATCATTATAGACTGCAAACATATAATAATGAAATTTTTAAAAGCAACTCATAACTTTGCTCTTGACTGATGAAGACTTCTGTTTCTTCATTACATCACGAAACCCCTACACAATCCCCTGCAGTTAACTGTCATAGCAATATTTTGCCCTGGAAATCTCAGGACTCTAATGTTGTTGAGCATAAGTCAGGATCCAGTAGATATAGCCCTTAGTTTTCTACTGTAAAGTTGTACGTTACCACTATAATAACCAGCAGTGCATCTCAGTACCTTTCCTGAGGAATACAAGAAATAATCTGTGTGTTTATCCAGTTAGCATGATAAACATCAAGGAGTGTGAATAGGTGCAAAAGTGTCAAGAGATTTGGATGCACCATTACATTGTGACCAGTTTTGCATAGGTTTAGCTGAGCATAACAGAGGGTGCAGTAGATCCACACCACTCCAGGATTTGTTTTTAAAAAGTTTTCTTTGGATTTTTCTGGGAGAAGTAGCCCAGTTCGGTACAATGGCACATAAAGGAACAGATTCGCAAGTTTTTGAGGAAATCAAAAGTAAATCATCAGGGCTGGGGAGATGGCTCAGTTAGAATAAGCACTTGCCTAGCAAGCACAAGGGTCTGAGTTCAATCCCCAGTTTCATCAAAAAAAAAAAAAAAAGTAAATCATCCTATTACTCATGGATGGATGAAGAAGATGATTCGTTATGGCAAAATACACGCTTTCACAACAGAAGCATGGTGTTGGGTGGGTGATGATGGTGATGATGATCACTTTGACACTGGCCGTGTGAGCCAGAGTTCCTGTGAAATGGAGCAAGAATCAGTTCCTACAGACACAAGGAATGCAGACCTCCTTGATTCAGGTGAGGAGGAAAACAGCAACGTGAGTACACATTTGACTAGTCGAAATGATGCAAACTGGCCATCAACCAAATGGAACAATTCAGTGTCGAGCTAGGTCTGAGAATACAGTGAAGACTTGGTAGGGATGAAATAAATGTTTTTATCGGACAGAATGGCAGTGCTGCAGCTCGCTGCTGGAAATTGAATAGATGAAAATGCTACACAATGCTGTGTAATGCATGAAGGCTTAAATGTGAGTAAAACACTCTGTGTGTACCAACAGCCATACTAAAAAATGTCTTTGACACCTCACTAATTGAACTGAAGGCATTCATAGGTCTGCTGTACTTAGAAGGGATTTCTCACGGGGAATTCAGGAATGTGAAAGACTCATGGAAATGCTGGGAGTCAAAATATAGCATGAAAACTTATGCCCTAGTAGATGCAAAGACTTACTGTTCTTTCACTTTACACATTTCTCCTAGAACTCAGCCATCAAGTCCTTATTCATATAGTAATAAGTCCAATGATATGTATACCTTGATGGCAGAATTAGTTGCTTTTTTCATTTTTTTAAAGAAAATTTAAAAACAGTAAAGAAAAACATTAGAAACGATACAAATTCCACTAAACAAAATGATAATGCAACAATTGTTATTGCACATTGTTGTCTTCAAATCATTGTTTGAATTACCAGATATAAGTATTTAAAATTTGTCAAAAAAAATAAAAAGGAGAAAAAAATAGAATTAATTGCTCCTTTCAGCAGACCAGTAGAAATCAGCAGTACAATTATCCAAGCTATCATATATATATATTTTTTTTTCCCCTTCCTTCTTTCTCTCTTCCTTTCCCTCATCCCCATCGTTCCTTCCATTTGAACAGATTCTTCTTCCCCTTTCACAGTATCTATTGCACCTTCTGCGTTTTATTTACAGAGTTAGCCTTATACCTCAAGTGTGCCTTGGCAGAGCTTCTTCGGGCTCTGGTCACAGTTCTACTGCTCCAC